AGTAAATAAAGTTTAGCCTGCCTTAAATCACTGTAAAAATGGGTGAATAAATGACACATGTATACACATGGATTAATTTGATGGGGACTCTAGTTTTTTTTTGGAGTGGCTGCAAGTTTATATACTTCTTGCCAGAGGTCCATTTATTTTAATGTGGATGTGGAATCAATTCATTTAAATCAATTGTCCATATATGAACACCTCTGTCTGTGTTAATTTTTAAATGGCCCTCCCTCTGGCTGACTCTCATAGCCACTTGCCCCTGCTGTTGTTGTGTTAAAAGCATGGGATGAGGGAGAAGCCCAGCTGCCAAGCAGCTTGCAGGAGCCCCCTGCAGCTTGCTCACTCACTCGCCCAAATCTTCTTCCAGTTCTAGGGTGGGAGGTCGGGGAATGGGTAAGGCAAGTTCAGCCCAAGGAGGTATCTCTTCATTGAGCCAGTGTGCACACCCCAAAATCAGGCAGGTAGGCAGGCAAAATGCCACCACTGCCACCTTTCTTTCCCCATCTCCAGCCAGTTTTAGCCTGTGTCTCCTCCTTCATCCCAGCTGTGTTTTGTTGTGTGTTTGCAGTGTATGTGTCAGTCTCCTGTTGCTTCCCAGGCTCCCTTGCGCATGTCAGCATTCACCAAGCACCACTGTGCATGCAAAGGCTTTTATAACACTGGCTTGCTTGGCTGTTTCCTATTGTACTTCCTCCAGGCACACTCACATGGAGGATACAAAAATACATACACACACACGCCTTCCTCTCTGAATTCCAGCCTTGGGTTGGAGAGAGAGAGCGCATGCATCTGTCAAGGGTGTTCCTTCAGAAACACTGGATTAAACATTTGTTCCAAGGGAATGCAAACTGTGATTCAAACACCACGTGACTGCTATGTGACTTGAAGTTGGTTTAACTTGATTTCACTTACACCAACACATATTCTAAACTATTACTTTACTGTAAACAAGCCCTGAACTTGCTTTTTCTTTTATCTGTGTACTCTCATGTGCTTTCTGAGAAATTAAGGAGCAGTCAAACTGTTTTCACAATCAACACAGCAACATAGACATAGTTTGTGTGTCTATGGGGCATTAGGGCATTCACACATGTGGTGAGAGGCTGATATGGCAAGCGCAGTTTGCCTATACATCAAATGTTACATAATGACTTGATGAACAGGATTTCAGCCATCGACTTTGACGGTCCAAGGTTAGCATTGCCATAGAGAAATATTCATGCACAGTAGAGTGATTTCATGTGTACATTTTTGAGACACGAGTACCACCAGTGAACAAAAATGCTGGAGAAGATGTGGATGATGCCCAATGCCATGTGCTTTTTCTGTTTTGGATGGAAGTGGAAATGTATTTTTTCCCATAGCACATTTGTTGCAAGGAATTCTAGTTTCCCTGTATTCAGCCTACAAACTGCAATCACTGAGAAAGTGCCATTTTCTCTCCACCTGCATTTTTTAAAATAGCCCTGATTACTCGTGGTAGTTGGCTGGTGCTTGTTGATAGTACTGTTATACACTCCCTCCTCTCACACTCTGAGACACCTTGTTTTGCTTTGGTTCATTCTCTGGGAGGCAGTGGAAGACAGGAAGGCCTGGCATGCTCTGGTCCATGGGGTCACGAAGAGTCGGACACGACTAAACGACTAAACAACATTACATTCTTTTTCATACTCATTCAAATGTTCATATAGTTGATTCATTCCCATTGATTGAAATCCTGTTGTGCAGCTACGCAAGTGTAACTCAACACTGCAGCTACAATTCCACCACAGCAGAAGTCCTATCCATGAAGCACTTCTGCCAGTACATTATGTAATTTGTTCAAATGGGAACTACACGACCGATCACGCAATTGCTGGGATGGAACACGTGACATGTTCGTGACAGCATAATATCAGATGATGTCTTGACAAACAGGATTCCAACTGTTAATTTTGATGGTGCTAAATTAGGTTTTCTATTGGGAAATACGTATGCACATCAGCATGATTTCATGTGTGTATTTTTTGAGACATGAGTACAACCAAGGGAAAAAAAAGAAAAACAAGAAAGAGATGGTTATTTAAAAAAATAGTGGTAGGGGTATAAAATGGCACAGTTGAATGAAAACTAGGTGCTATTGTACCCATGAATGCACTGCCATGTTTGCCATTCTGACAGCATACCATGGGTGATCATACAGGTAACTAACGTGAGAACCACTTTTCACTTGAAAACACATCTAATTGCTTAATGCTGGAAAATCAAAATTCTCCAATAATTGACTTTAGGAATCATGTTATACGGCTACTGATAGAGCCTTTGTGCCCAAGAAAGCCATAAACAATTTAATTAAACAAAAGTTCAGTTGAAAATCCTACGTATAAAATAATACTTAAATTCCACAAAATGACAAATCACTTATTTAATAGGAGTATTTTGCACTTCAGCACACAGGATAAAACAAAAGAAGATTTAACAATGTCCTTACATTTAAAATGAAATGGGGGGAAAAGGGGGACTAATCAAAATGTCTTCCAATTACAAATAATGTCACAAACCATAAATATGGTACTAAAATAGGCTATCAAAATAATTCACATGCAAAAATAATGTTCCAACTTTTGCACACCTGCTTTTGCAGTCATGAAATTTGTTTTTCCATAATTTGTTTTGCATATAATGACTTGACTGTATTCATTAATTTTCTTTCCACTGCACTTCTCTAACTATCAAATCAACCTTCCAAGAACTCCTACAGAAAGTAGTATTTTCCCTGCTGACAATTCCAAAACTGACATTGAAAACAGATGTTTCCCATCATGATATCCAGTCAGGTGCCTGTGGAAGTGGCAGCACCTCAAAAATACAAAGCCTTAATGTGTGATGCTTCAAGAATAGCTTATTTGTATGAACAGCTCCATGAGTAATTGGCATCCAAAATCCTATTGGCTTTCTTTCCCAGAGTTGGAGGAAGCAATTTTTCTTCCCTTACTTATACCAGGGAAAGGAAATCCACTTTCATGACATAAGGCCAGGAATAAGATTTCACATCCTAGAGAGAAAAACAGAGTACTGGATTCGAGGAACATAATAAGAATTAGAAGGTTGAAACACTGAAATTGTTGGTCTCAAAAATATATCTGGCAGAAGGATCTAATAGAAATTCGTCCCTGCGGAATCATTTTATGTGATGCTGAATTGGATTAGATAACATTTATTAAAGCATTTCACTGACCTTTCTATCCAACAAGATAGTGGATCAAAAATCCAAATCTTTCTAAGACACTTCTTATCAAACTGCAGTGCTTTTAGACAATAGTCATTCAGGATATGTTAACATCATCAACACACACACACACACACACACACACACACACACACACACACTAACAAACACACACACACACACACACACACACACACACACACACACACACACACACACACACACACACACACAATGTGCCCTATGTCCAACCCAATAAAATATTTTCATATTACAACAATATACAGTATACTGCTTTTGTTTATTCAAGCAAATAGAAGAATAATATGAAACCAATTGAAAGACAATACATAGGCTTTTGAGCTGCAAGATAATTTGAAAAGCAGGCTTGTGGCTTTGCTTTACAATGCTCAGGAAATATTCCTAGCGATTAAGGGATAAAATGTAAAGCATTTATCCTTGCCAACATTTTATCCTTAAAGGATAGTTATGGCTATTGCACCACAAAAATAAAGACAAAATCATCTGCAAAGTTTGTGCTTTGGAAAAGGTCCATATTCCAAGGCAAAGAAATCAGTGGAAGCTCATGGCCAGCACAAGGGGTATCACCCCCACAAATTCTTGAGGTGAGGCACCCCTGCTGTTCCCATTTATGAGTTGCCCAAAACAGGCAATTTATACAGTTTAAACACAGAGTGTAATGACACTTAAAGCTGCTGGATTATGTGCATGGATTTATGTGAATCTGAAATATGGGAGAAAGCCTATGGTCCATGATAGGAGGAGTCCCTGTCCAATCCCAAGCCACCTATACAGTCCCATCTGAAAATAATACAATTCACAGAAATACTGGAAAATATGCTCAACACAGCTGCTCTATATATTTCATTATAAAGGATGAGGAGCATAATTTACATTATAGGAAAAGAGAGAAAAACACTTCAAAAGAGGGTCTGTATGACCCTCCTTATGACACAGAGACATGTTCTTAGCATGCCTCTAAAGCAGCTTAACACTGAAAGAAAAAAATCTGCATTTCTATAAGGTGCCTGCTAGAAACACTCTAGACACATAGTTTGCATGTAAAAAACATAATAAGTATTTTTAAAACGCTTGAGCAAAGTCAGCAGTAGAATGTGAAGCACACATATGGTTGTAAAGCACTCCTTTAGTGCCAGGGTGCTGCAAAGCACTTACTTGTCTTGATTCAAAACTATGGAATTAATTTTAACTTACAGCTATACTTTTTGAAGCGATAACTTTATAAATGCCAGAACATCACAGATCAGATTGAAAGACTGGAGGTAACAGAGGAAAGTACCCCAGACTTTGCACACTTTTTCTCACACTAAAGAAAAGTATATTCTCTGAAATGTTTGTGAGCCCTTGTTGTTTTACAGTCATGCAAACATGGATTTTAATCAACTATCTGGATGAGTAAACAAGAAAAGCATAGTATCCTAAAGCATTAAAATGTAATTTGAAAAACTGGAGAAAACTCCTCTACATTTCCTAATGGATAAATCACACATTGGCATAAGAAGTAAATGCTGAAGAAACAGTAAAATTCTTTCCCCTTATTTGTAGTATGTATTATCTCACTTGAATCCTGCAACAAAAAGGCTATTTTAATTCTTTGTTTATGCAATGTTTTAAACCGCTCATCTCTCATATGTGCTTTGCCCCATTACATTTATGCCATTAACTGGTACATACTGAAAGAAAGGATGTTTCATTAATCCAAACATTTCCCAAAAAAGAAAAGCATAAAAATGTCACAACTACTTGCCTCTTGGCAGTTTCTGAGCATTTCCAAGGAGCAGTGAAATATTTCCAAAGAAAAGTAGAAAGATCAGCCTTGATATCATGTTTTCAAACATGCACAGTGAAAGAAGCTGAGGAGTGTCATGCAAGGTAATGCAGCTGCAGTAAAGTGAACTGTTCTCTCTGTCACAGAGGCAGCAAAAGTTTGACAGTTCAGTTTACACTGTGGGAGGAGACAATATGACATCACACCATCTCCCTGGAAAGTAGAAGAGAATGAAAATTTAAGTGGTATCATCAATCTCTTCCATGAAACAGATTTGTTATCTCTAAAACATTTAGAATGTTTACCTTATTTAGAATAAGACCAGATAGGCGGGATAGAAATAAAATAAATAAAATAAAATAAATAAAATAAATAGCTACATACAGTCACCTGCATTCATTGTTTATTTTAAAATATGATACAAAAATACTAGGAAGAAATAAATTATCTCTCCAAAGTGGAAATAGGCTACAGCAACACATAAGTGACATAGAAAAATGCCCAATAGTGTTAACAGGAAAAAGAGAAATCAGATGTGAAGAAGAAACTGATCCAAATATGTAACAATTGCAATTATGTGTAACTGGTAAAACAGGGAAACAACCGGTATCCACAAAATATATCTCATGTAATTAATGCTAAACACAAATTATATAGCCAAGTTTAATAGATTCAATGATTACAATCCAAAACACAGCAAAATAAAGCTCCTTTGATTTTAGTTAGATTTAAGTGCAGGTAACTGCATTGAGTTGTGAGCTATTTTATCTCTTAACTCAATAATTTTATGAAGAAAAGAGACATGCCACTTGCCTATAACTGTGGATCTTTGAGTGGTCATATGGAAATTCACACACATGGGTACCTTGGGGCTTCTGCAGACAACCTCAAGAATATTCTAGCACCTTAACCCATCACCCTCAGCTTATATATCTCTCCACACAACAGTTGCTCCTCAATTCCCTTTATCTGATGCCACAGCCAAAGTGGAGGTATCATGATAGATAGAGGAGAGTTTGAATGAGTTGTGTGAATTCACAGATGACAACTCAAAGAACCCTGAGTGTTCACTGGAAGGACATATCCTGAAGCTGAGGCTCCAATATTCTGGCCATCTCATGAGAAGAGGAGACTCCCTGGAAAAGACCCTGATGTTAGGAAAGTGTGAAGGCAAGAGGAGAAGGGGACGACAGAGGACGAGATGGATGGACAGTGTCA